CTACTTCGGCTTCGGCTTCGGCTGCAGCTCCGTCGCGTGCGGTCGGCGTCGCTATTTCCCGGCGGCGCACTGCACGCAGCGATCACTCGTCGATCGGTCGCGCAGCGGATTGGACGTGCCGGTATTATCGCTCCGCTCGGCATTACCACTTCACCGCTACCGCGCCGGCTTTGCCGCCCCCTCGATACCGCCTCATCAAAAAGTTAAAAAAATATATATAACACTATCATTCCTAACGTTTAACTATTATTTTTTTTTTCTGTCACTGCTTTTGTTTTTATTGCTTAAAAAACGCGACGCGTAATCAAGTGAAAAATCAAACGGTATAACGACTCTGTATTTTTTTGAACAACTTTTTTTTTTTTTGTTTTCGCTTGTGAACAACGGAAATTACTGAATAATTGAAAAACAAAAAAAAAACTGAATTACCAAAAAAACGGAAAAAACGAGGCATAAATTCTGCCTAGCTGCCAAATCGAAACTGAAAATCGCCGCTCAGCTGACGAGTAAAAACTGTAAGTTGTTGCTAAATGTAGTTGTTGCTTGCAGTTAATAATAATGCCCATTTACTGGGGTTCAAGGGGAAGGGACGAAGTGCAAGGGGCTGCGAGAAAGAGACAGAGCTGCTAGAGAGTGACTTGGCTTAAACTTGAGTTATTCCTCGCTTTTTGCCTCATCTTTTTTCCGTTTAAGCCCGCCTTGACTTTCGACTTTTGTCGCGTCTTGACATCTCCTCTTATTAACTATGTAATTTCCTCTTCGTTTTATTGCACTGCATACACTAAATTATTATTTTTATTATATACTTATTTGCTCAACTCGAATTGCAAAACGATGGCGGAAATATGTGTGTTCTAAAGTACCTATTAAAATTAAGATTTAACATTCGAATTATGAGTTTTATGGGGAACTAAGAGTTTGTTCATTTTGGTAGTGATAAAACTTGTGCTTTATGTGTATTGTATTTCTTAATTGAAAAAATATAGTGTAAGAAAGATAGGTCTTTAAAATTGTATTTCCATAAATAATAGTTAGTGCTCTAAATGTTATATGTTAGAAAAGCCATATATTGTCCTATATAGCGTGTTCCGAAAAACCACTTGAGATTGTGTCATCAAGAGAAGAGCACGTTTTTTACAATCTTTGGTTCAGAATGATATATATTAGAGTCTGGCTAAAAGCTGCCAGACAACCGATTTGGAGTCGGAATGGGGATCGGAATTCCTCAGATAAGGATTTGAAATTTTCCACGGGCTACGTATCAAGGTGAAGCACCACCCTAATTGAGTTAGTTCTTATCGCCGTTGTTTTGGCCATCCAATAATTTGTCACTTTCGCTTATATTCCAATCAGTTAACAAATCATTTTTTCGTATAGGGAATTCTTGGGTTCTAATTTGTTTATTGTTGTAATGCAGTTTACTTCAAATTTCCACGAAGTTTACTTATAGGTTTAACTTTTTGACTATTTTTAATGGATAAATAAAGATAAATAAGAAAAATATGTACCTAATTTTTTTTTATATTAATGTTTAATAATTGTGTTTATTGTGAGATATTTGAATGTTTAATATTTAAACAAATGTTGTCGATCTTCATTGAATTCTGTTCTATTTATTATGAACAGAAATTGATATGTATGTTTATTTAGTGCGGTTTATTACCAGGCAGTCTGGGTACATGTCTCCAATCCCATTACCCATTGTTTAGTGCCCCTTTAAAGCGATTTTATGGGCACATAACGAAGAACTTAGCTCGGCATTGTTCCCAGTGATTTCTTGGACCCTTGCGAATCTCCGATTTGCTGACACAAAATTCCCGGTATCGCCAGTGTTTGAATTTCGCTGCGGAATGAAGAAAACCAAACACCAGAAATAAATCCAGCTAAACGGCCAAAAGTGGAGCACATTCTGATAAGCTCCGATTCCTATTCCGATTCCGATTCCGATTCCAATTCCGATTCGAATTCCGCATCCACCGGGTCGCGTTACGAAAACCTAGAGCAGATCAGGAGTTGGGTTAAGTACATGCTGGAATCAGATCGCTTTCGATCGGGTTGGGGTGATTCAACCAAATCCAAGAACCGTGCCTCATAAAAAAAAAAGAACACGCAGCTCTTTCCCAGCAATCGGTTAATGTTTATTTATAAACAAAATACGAAATCCCACATTCAGGAGAAAAGGGGGAACTGCGGATATCTTTTGTGGCATGGCACCGATAAGATAAGGAGCCGGGCTTTTGGAAAAGACGTCAGCGGGTGGCATGACTAAAGCGAAAGCAATCGAAATTAATATTGATCGAGCAATGCTCCACTCATTTTTGTTTATATTTTCCGATAATTGCACCATATCCGCTCTTGCCATCCACCCTTTTTCCGCTTCAATACAACTTGAACTAAGGTTTTCCTCTAACAGTCAAGATTTTCTAAGTTACAATAAGGCTGAAAAATTAAAAAGAATTTATTTGTACCAATAACATTCAGATTTGTATGGCATATTTCTTAGAAATTACTTGACTATTTTTCTTATCAAGTACATTTTAAATTCCATATTTATAGTTTTGCAGGAATTTCAATTCAAATAGCGTGTATTAAGTGTTTATTAGTTTGTTTAAAGAATGTTTATATTGAGATTATAATTTGAACACAAATTGTTTTTTTTATAAGTATTTATAAGAAATGTGAAAAAAATCAGTAGACTAAAAGTTCTAAGAAGAGTCAAATCAAAACTCCCACTCTACATATTTCTATACCCAGATAATTTTATTTAGAAACTAGGATTTGCTATCAAGTTGTTATCAAGTTTCAGCTGTATTTCTTTAATTACTCGAGTAACACATTTTGGTTTTGAGGAAATAGTTTGTGAAGTTGTTTCTAGCGAACTTCCGGTTGCTAGGCGGCCATAGCCGAACCATTCCGCACCCTACAAGAAACCTCGTCAACCCCCGAAAACCATGACAACCTGTTGCTTAACCCCTGTGACAACATTTCCATTTTATCTTATCGCAGAGGGAATTTTGGTGGGTTCGCTCGCGTTTATGGTTACTCAGTGCCATATATCTTTCCATGTACGTACAATATATGTTTGACCTGCCCATATTGCCCAAAAGTTCATGAACAGATTATATATAATATATATATCATATGTGGCACGGTTTGAAATGATCGATTGCGCTGTGGCTCCTAAGATCCCAGACCGGAGCGTGAATAATATTACCAATATTTGTTAACGAAACACAAGTGTTTTTCACACCCAAACTACATGGCAGCCATGTTGCAAGTCGTTCTCCGGTCTTTGGTCGCCGGTCTTTGGTCTTGGGTCTCCATTCTCCATTCTCCATTCTCCGCGAGCTGTTAATGTTGATAACCCAGTTTGCACAAGTGTCTTTTCGGCTTTTCGATACCCTAACCGGGCCGAGAGGGTATAATTACACACTCATGAACTGGAAACGGGAAAGCGGAATGCCGGCCGAACAAACAAACGAAGCGGTTATATATACACAAATGTCTATATGTATATTACGAGTCTGTCTGCTCTAAGATCCGAGTGTGGGAATGGTATTTCTGGCAGTTTCCCCTCAGGATTTGCTGGGTTTATCTTGAATCGTTTTATATTATTCCTTTATATTAATCCTCCTATATTAATCCAAACACTTAGTTTAGGCAGTTATTCTCGTTATTTCTTAAAGTCTTTAGTTGTACAGGTGTTATTATCCAAAATGGTAATCATTTTTGCAGTGGAAAAATAATAGACATTGTTTAAGGACTGTCATAATACATTTTAATATTTTTTGTTTGAGTTATATGTGAATTTAAAATATTTTTGTATAATATACAAAAAGTAAGCCCGCTTTTATTTAAATAGTAACAACTTAGAGCATAAATGGTTTCTTAGAAACTATTTCCGGAGTAGATAATCCCAGTTTTTATCAGTTTTTTAGTTTCCATAAGCTAATTTCATTTCAAAACGATTTCATTTATTTAAATGCCTTGCACGTTGAGCTTTGTGATTCATACCCGTAAGTACAGAGAAGTGTGCATAGACACATGCATGTCGTTTGAGCTAATTTTAATTAACTTGCCATTTTTTCAAATATTTATTTCGTGGCCCGTTTGCCGTTTGCTGCTCGTTGTTAATTTTATTTAGCCCATTTTTTTTACGGCCCTTGCCATTTTGTTGGCGCTTGCAAAAGCGGCCCCGTCATGGGTTTTATGGGGATTTCGTTGCTGGGACCTTATCGTTGGGGCCGTCGGCTTCGCAGTCGGCAGCGCAGTCGACAGCGGCAGCGGCGGCCATCTTTGCTCAACTCATCCATAAACTCATTAACGCGCGCATGTCTCACGCGCTGCCTCTGCCTCTGCCACTACCCCCTGCCCCTGCCTCTGCCTCTGCCCCTGCCTCTGCCCCTGCCCCTGCCGCTGCCACCGGTACTTGCACCTGTCGCCCCACCTGAGCCCCTCCCCCTCCTCCTCCGCCTGCCATTAGCGCCTCCTAATGCGAATTGACCTGGTTTGCCGGTGGGCCAGGCGGAGAAAGAGGAGGAGGAGGAGGCGGTGAGGGGGAGGAGGTGAGGGGGGAGGAGGTGGAGAGGAGGAGGCGGTGAGGGGGAGGAGGTGGAGAGGAGGAGGAGGAGGTGGGTGTGTGGCCAAGTGGGCGACGCATGCGCAGCAGGTGCCAGAAGATTCGGATTGGCGGCTGGGATATAATAAACTGGGTGCGAAATCCATCCATCTAACCAATCCAAACCCACTCGACTTTCAAGTACAGTTGTGTCTCATTTTGCCAAGTTATCTGAGAGCTAAAAAATGTAAATAAAAATATTCAAAGGATATACATTTCAATACCTAAATCGATGTTTAAGCTTTGAATAGTTGCGGGTAGGACTAATTCTAATTGAACTAATAAACAATTGGAATCTAAAAATATTCTATGTGGGCATAATTACAGTGACTAGTTTGATTTGATTACCTACTCTTTTTGTTTTCCATCTTTTTCTCCGCAGCAGCAGAACGAGGAGCACAATGTGGAAGACAGCTGGTGCTGGGAGCCCGATGGAGGCGATGAGAAGGGAGCCACAGCCGCCGGATCGGGCGACTCGGCCTGGAACAAGGAGTCGGGACTTGTGGACATCGCCCTGGGCGCCAATGATGTGACTCGGCTGAACAATCGCATTGCCGAGCTGGAGCGACTCAACACACAGCTAAATGCCTCGCTGGAGGAACTGGACTCGCAGCACGAGCTGGCCATGCAGGATGTGCTGGAGCACAAGACGCAGCTGGTGGGCCAGGTGGCGAATCTCAAGCAGTTGCAGGCCGATCGCCTGGTGGAGCACGAATTGGCCAGTGCCAGGCAGCAAAAGCAGTTGGATGAACTGGGCCAGGCGGCTTCAGTCGCCAAGGAGCTGCAGGAGCAACTGCAGCAAAGAGTGGAGCAGCAGGCGGCGGAACTGAAGCGCAGTGTTATGGAACTAGCTGAGATGCAGGAGCTGCTCGACAAACGTGGCCACGATAATGCCGAGCTCATCGAACGCGTTCGCCTGGCGGAAGCAGAGCGCGATAGACTGGTCAAGGATCTGGAGGAGTCGCGACAGGTCAAGGAGAAGAAAACCTCGGAGTCCTCGTCGAACAGCTCCTCCACGGGCAAGCACAGCGAGGACGAGTTTATAGTGGTGCGCCAGGCAGATGCCACGGGTTCCGGCTCCGCTTCTGGCTCGGATCCCGATCCGGATGCCGAGGTCACGGCCCCACCCTCCAAGGAGAAGCTGCGCGATCGCCTCGTCTCCCTGGAATCGCAAATCTCTGAGCTGACCCTGACCAATACACAAATGCAGGATGCCCAGCTGGAGAAGCAGCTGGCCATCAATTTGATGGGTGAACAGCTCGCGGAATTGGAGAAACGTTTGCGGCTCAGCGAGGCGGAGAAAGAGCAACTGCAGCTGGACTTGCAGCTCCGATTGCAGCAGTTGACGGTGCAAAATCAGGAGCTGAAACTCCATGCCGAGGCCGAACAAGAGGGACACGCCCAGGATCTCGAGGAGCAACTGGGCGCCCTGCGGGAGGAGAACCAACGACTGCGCCAGGAGCTGGATACCAGCATAGCGCAGGCCAAATTCCGGCAGGCCATTGCTGAGGAGAAGCAGGAGATCACGGACTTGGACGAAACGGACACGGAATATGGCGCTGGCACCTACGAACTGGACAAGCTGCGTGCTCTGCTCCAGGCGGAGGTCGAGAATCGTCTGGGTAGCTCCTATCCCCAGCAGAAACTGGAGCGTGCCTGGAGTGCGCTGACCGAACGCTGGCATCGTCTGGACATTGCGGAGCAGCGACTGGTGGACGTGCAAAACCAACAGCTAATCAGCGAGCACGAGAAGAAAACGCTCGAGGCGGACATCTCGCAGTATATCCTCCAGTGCGATGAGCTGATGAAGAACAACGAGCTGCTGCTCAACGAACTGGACAAATTCAAGCGAAACAAACTGGAGACCATCGAGGAGCATCACGAGGAGACCATCATGCAATTGGAGGCCCAGTTGGAGGAGGCCAGGCAGCATTTGGAGCTGTCTCTGTCCAGCCAAAGGCAGATGGAATCTAAGCTCAAGTCCAACCTGGAAAACACTTCGCACGAAAGCGAGTTGCTAACCAAAATGGAGCAGAAGGTACAGGAACAATTTGAGTTGCAAGAGCAGATGACGTCCGTCAAAAAGGAACTGATCGAGAAAACTAAATTGCTAGCGAGGAATGAAGAACAGCTAACGAAACTCCAGCAGCAAAACCAAGCAGATCAAGAAAAATTGTTAGAACTGTCACAGCTGCGCGAAACTTTACTCCAAAAAGAACAAGATCTACAGAGTCTAGAGGAGCAGCTAACTTCTGCTAAGCAGGAAATGGAAGAAAAGTCCATGCAGTCAAAGGTCAACCAAGATCAGCATAAAATCCAATTGGCCAAGGCCCAAAACCAGTTGCAAGCGGATCAGGAGAAGCTGAGGGAACTGCTCCAACTGCAGGACAAGTTGGAGCAGCAAAAGGAGTTGATGGAAGTGGATCAGAACCAGCAACTGACCACCATCAAAAAGGAGTTGGCCGAGACAAACAACCAACTGGATGAGTGTCAGGAGAAGCTTATCGCTCGGGAAGCTCAGCTGGCGGAGATCCAACAGCAGTTGCAAGAGATCAGCGAGGAGAAGACACAGTTACAGGAGCAACTTCAAAATAAGGAGCAGGAATCCGGCACGGACCCTGAACACGCTAACCAAATCCAAGAGCTTCGGGATCAGTTGCTAGCCCAGAATCAGGAAATAGAGAAATACCAAGCCGAGCTGGGAAAACTACAAGAAGCAGTCCAAGCCTATGAAGAACAGCTTGCGACGAAGGAAGAGCAACTTCAGGCGAAGGAATCACAGCTCCTGGCCATGGAAGAGCAACTCCAGAGCCACCAGGCTGCCGACCAAAGTCAGCACCTCCAGCAGACCATCGAGGGACTGGGCAAGGAGAAGAACGAGCTGATCAAGGCTATCCAACAGAAGCACCAGGAGAACACCCAGTACTATGCGGAGATCCAGCGCCTGCAGCCCTTCGAGCAGCAACTGAAGGATCTGGCCAAGGAGCGCGAGAAGCTGCAGGATCAGGTCGGATTCCTCAAGGAGAAGTCCGACATACTCACCACGAATCTGCTGACGGAACAGACGAACCAACGCCTGCTGCAGCAACAGCAGTCGGAATCCCAGGAGCAGCAGGCCAGCGTGCAGCGCGATCTGGAACGATTGAGGGCACATCTCCTGGAGGTGGAGGAGCTGCACACCCAGGAGTCCGTGGAGCTGCAGCGCGATCTCGAGGAGTCCCGGTCCCGTCAAGCGGTCCTCGAGCAGCAGGTGTCCAAGTCCAGTACGGCCTACACCTCAGCCAGGTAGGGCTAATTACCCCGGGGGCAGGGCGCGGGGGTCACCTTGGTTTTGGGCTGGCGGGGGCTATTCGTCACACAGGCGATAGGCGATAAGCGATAAGCGATAAGCGATCGAAGCTGGCTAATTGCATTCGCCACATGTTCCCACACGATTCCGCCGACTGCATCCCGCCGGTGAAATCGGACCATGCAAATTGCCGGCCATATTTCCGCATGCTTGGCAGCTTGTGTTATCGCCAGCTGGAAAATCAATTTCGAGTCGCTTGGATATCGTCACTAGCTGCTCTTATATAAGAGTCCTTCCCCGGTTCAGTGGAACTGCGATTGAGATATCGGCGGACACGGCTTAAAGTTTAGATTGATCGAGTATTGGGTTCTAACATTTTTGAACATTTTGTAAAAAGCTCGAAAACGGGGTTATCATATACAAAAGGGAAATAGTTTTGAGTTTAAAAAGTGAACTATTTTTTTTTGAGTGCTTCAACTTTGTCTTATTCATTCAATCAATTTAATTTGTATATTTTGAGAAACTAAAAACTAAGGTAAAGTAATGATTTAGTGACTAACAAAAATATATATAGAGAATATATTGAATGTTTTAAAGATTGAACTATAATGTTACAACATATTTACCAATTGTAGTTATTATATGAGATATTGCCATATTGTTTTCTATGCCTTACAAAATATAATAGAATTGAGCTTGGGAAAAGTGTAGGTTAAATTATAGCTTTCAAAATGAACCATCAATTTTGTATCTATTTGATGTCTATTGTGAGTAGTTTACTATTGCCAAACAATTATATAAGTTCATACGAAAATACAGATTTCCACTGAAGTTAAACTTGTACATGGGAGTAATAACTTAATCATTTTAATGCTTTAATAACTAAAATACGTAGAAAAAAGCAAAATATATATAATATATAAATATAAAATTTTTAAGTTCCATCATAATCTATTCTGTTTTTCATTTATCCCTTAGTATCCGGGCAAATCAGCAGGCGGAAACGCTCCAGGCGCAGTTCGCTCTGCTCCAACAGCAGCGGGATGAGCTGCTGGCCAAACTGGGCCAGTACGAGGATCGCGAGCTGAAGCAGCAGGCGGCGCTCACCAATCTCCAGTGTGCCTTGGAGCAGTTCCAAAATGGTAAATATCCCTATATATCATTTGCCACCGAACAGCGATTAAGACCTTATCCATTCCAGACAAAGACCACGACATCGAGATGGCCACGCAGCGCATCCGGCGCGAGATGCAGGCCCAGTTGGACCGGCAGGGTCAGCTCCAGCTGGAGATGGGTGGCCTGCAGCAGCAGCTGGCGGAGGCCAACCAGGGATTGCGGGCTGCCGCCCGGCTCTCCGACCAACTGGAGGCCGGCCAGCAGACCATCGCAGTGCTCCGGGATGAAGGTGAGTCAGCGGATCGTGGAGAGGCCACAGGGAGTTCACCCCGCTGTGTGAATCCTCCAGACTTTTATGACTAACCCAAAACCTGTTAAAGCGTAACCCGGCATTCCCGGCATGTTCGTAACCCACGGTGTTGCACCCTCAGTATTCCCAACTAAAAATCACGCATTTAAAAGACCAAACCCCCCGTCCCCAAACAAGAAACGCAAAAAAAAAAAAAAAAAAAAGGAAAAGTTTAGAAAATAATTATTATTTTTTGTTTGAGAGTGAGTGAGAGAGTATGCCAGTGAAAAAGCGAGAGTGAGTGCTAGAGGGAAAGTAAGAGTTTAAAGGAGAAAAGTGTCACCTCACACGATTCTCAAAGGTAAATATCAGCTGGTAATTCTGGGAGCTAAGCCTAAATATGAAACACTCGGAATTTCAGTTGGTATCGACTTTTTTGAATTGCATTTTATCACCAAAGCGCAAAAACCGAAACCAAACACCAAAAAAAAACTTAAGCAATATTCAATAAAAATGAAAAAAAAAAAACACACACACATAAAAAGTACCACAAAAAAAAACGAAAAATAAGAAAACCAATGAAAATACTCGTTAGATCGCACCTACGGCACGTGGCAAATAAAAACTGTATTGGCTGTTAACTGCTCACCTCACAACAGGTAAACGACTAATTTGTCCGCTTGTGTGTCCGTTAAAAGCTGTAGAAAACCCCCCCACACACCACAACAAAGTAAAGTAGTCACTTTTAATAACCCATTAATGTTGCACCACAAAACAGATAAACACACCTAGTCCAACCACAAGAAACCGATCAAAACCAGGTGCCCTAAATGTTGTGAATTAATTAGAAAATATTCTGTAAGAAACTGTGATTTGTAGCTTTAGTTATTAGTGTTGTTTAGATGTTGTGCGAAATACACACAAAACAATCAAAACCATGTCAGAAAAATACAAGGAAATTCGTAAAAAAATGTTGTTAAAAATATCTGTTAAATTACTGGAACAAAACATTTGAAATAAAAGTGTTTTTATATGTTTAAATTAAAATACTAAGAACATCGAATATTTTTTAAATCTATGTTTAATTCGATTTAAAAATAATTATTGAAGCAAAATTTTAGTACTGGATTTTGTATTTTTCTGGCTTTGTATTTTTGAAACCCGCACAATAAAGACACGTAGAATATCTAAAGCTTTAACCCCTTGTTACCCCTTCCAAAATTGTCCTTTAATTTAATCCCTTATATGTTGTTGCCCGCTGCGTTGTTGCTTAACTATTTATGTAATTTTTTACATTTATTATTTTGTTTGAGATGAATTATTTGATTATTATTTGATTTGATTATCTTATGTACAAGCTATAAAAATGAGCGTTTGAAAACACGACACCCAGACACGAGAACCTCTATAAACCGTATAAACCGTAAACCGTACCATCCGTTATCCGTAATTCGTAACCCGTAATCCGTACAAAAACAAAAAAAAAAAAAAGAAAAAAAAACCAAAAAACAAAAAAACAATACCAATTGTATCTGCAGCATTGAATAATCTCAATTTGTAAATGTGAGCGGTTTGAGCCATTTGACGCACTCACTTTGCAATTGGAGATTGCTCGAGACTGCGGCATATGCCACATTATTATGTACACACCCTATATAGCCTATATATCTGCCTATATCTACTCTGCATGTCTACATTATGCATATATCTGTATGTATCTATCCCCTATGCCTCTAAATATCGTATGGATATGCTGTCTACCTATCCTGTTGCTCTCTGTTGTTGCCCGCTAGCTGAGTTCCGAATTTGAATCTCGTTCTGAATCTGATCTGTTTCCGTCCTCGTATTTTCGTTTACCCCCCCCTCCCCAAATTTTTTTTTCTTTTGAGTTTGTTATTTTGATTTTTGATCTTTGCATTTGCATTTGGGAGAAGTCGCCTTCCCCTCGCCCCAATCGACCAACCACACAGCCAGCAGATTGAATCACTGACTGGTGAAGTCCAGTCCAGCCACCGGAGTAGAGCTATCCAATGAGCAGAGAGCCGTCATCGCCATCCCTCGCGACGTGAAGGAGCCCAAGGAGCAGCGTCTGTACGGTTGAGTATTACATCAGGTACTGGTGTGCCTTAAACTTAACAACCAGTACTTATGTCATACTACGCCGTGCACCGATCGCACTAACCGCATGCCAAAAACCAAAAAAAAAAACCCACGCGCGCGCTTCTCCCACACGGATGTGCATCCCTGATTTCACACACCACCCACATTAATAGCTTGCTGCATTGGCCATTTTGGATACTAATCCCCATCCGTATGATCCTCTTTTTTGACCAGTGGAGAGCCTGAAGGAGGCGAACGTCCAGCTGGAGCAGAGTCTCAGCAGCAGCGAGAGCAGTCAGACGGACAAGATTGACAAGAGCCTGATCAAGAGCCTGCTAATCGGGTATGTGGTCAGTGGACATGCCGGCGACAAGCAGCAGGTGCTGCGCATGATCTCCTCCGTGCTGGACTTCAATGCCCAGGAGTCGGACAAGGTGGGGCTCAACAAGCAGCAGGGCAGCTGGCTGGGCGCCATCCTGGGTGGAGGTTCTAACGCGGCGGCGGGAGCAGGTGAGCCTACATTGCAATCTTTTCTAGCTTAAAAGTATTTAACATGTTTCCATTATCAGGACCAGGATCCTCGCGTGGCAACGACAACCTGGTGCAGGCCTTTGTCCAGTTTCTGGAGCAGGAGTCGCAGCCCCAGGCGCAGGTGCAATCGCGACCCACACTGCTCAGCATGACGGGTCAAATGGAGGCGGCCACCTCCTCCACCGCCTCCACATCCTCCTCCACGCTTCCCCTGTCGACGAATGCACAAGTAGCGTCGGCGGTGACAGCGAGCTTCGAACCAGCGGCACCGGGAACACCGCCAGCGGGCGGATCACCGCAGTCCCTGGCCATGGGCTCCAATGAATTCGCACCGACACGCAACTCCAGCTCGATATTGAAGGACATTCTCAGTGACTCCTGATTGTTGTAGAAAAGTCAGATGACATACTTCACTTCCAATTTGTTTCTGTCGTCGCGTGTGTTTTTTTCAGTAATTTTAACATATTTTTATGAAATTTGTAAAAGTGCAATCGGCACCTGTATTCCCAAATGTGTGTCCCACATATATCTCGCTATATAAACATATATACCTGAACGGGTCCCCCAATAATGTACAATGTCTGTGTGTGTATATGTGCAACGCTAGCAATTTGTAAATATGTAATCTGCAATTTGAACATGTCAACAGCAGCAGGAGGATTAAAACACAATGTTTTTTCCCGCTTTGCCTGCCTGTGACACGCCTTCACAGCGGCCTTGCTAATGACTAGCCGCCAAATAATAAACAATTAAATAATACAATAAACATGTGATGTTTTTATTTGAATTCCACAGGGAATCGAAACCGTTGAAAACCTTTTAAATCCTTGAAGAAGACCCTTTAAATTACCCAAGTCCAACCAATAAAAATGAGATAACACAACGCTTTTAAGTACATACAATATAAGACTGCTGCCTTTTGTTTATTTTTATTTCTACACATCTCGCTTAGTAGGTTTGCCTATAACATTTCGATAAACTCTTTGAAATCGTTTGCTAAAACACACTTAGGACACGATCCACTTACATTGGTTATGGCTGGCTGTATCTCAGCGTTAACAACATTTAAACATTTCTACACATCGTAAACAGGATCTAGACTTTTCATAAATATCATTCGCCTTTTTGCTTTCCATATTTTTGTTTTTTGATTCGTTTTTGTTTTATAAAAATATACAATTATAAATATAAATATATATATATACGTATATATATATATCATGTAGTATGTACATTTAGATATTTCAAAAAGACAAGAAAAAATGTACGTCTTTGTGTTTAGTTTTGTTCAATAAATTAGTAGAAAATACTTCTTTTGTTTATATAAAAATACAATAGGGTCCATAGGTTTCGATACACATACACGTTTACATTGTTATATATTTTTTATTGATTTTGGGATATCCTTTTTTTGTGGCGGAAATAGAGATTTGCGTAAGCTTACCATTAGAAAGTGGCAAAGTTTTATTGCACAAAAGGTGTGTTCGTTTGTATAAAAAAAATTATACAAAAGGCTTACAAAATGATTTTCTCAGTGTGAGGGTGTTGGTTTGGCTGTGTGTGTGGGTGTATGTGTGTAGTTGAAGTTGTGTGAGTGTGGTGAAAGCTTTTTTTGGTGGGTGTGTGCGTGTCTTTGTGTGAGTATGGCAAGCATTTTGGTGCATACTTTTCGGTTCTTAGCTGGGGTACAATTCTTGTAAAAGCTGCATGTAATAACGATGTAGATCGTTTAACAAGACCTTTTGTATTCTTTCAAATTTTATAAAAAAAACGTTACAAAACTTAAGCTAGGTTCCAGAGTCAATTTCGACCCTATTAACTGCAATATCATAGGCAAAATCGGATGAGAAAATGATCAAAACTGGTTTAAATCAAAACTGTTTTTTTTTTTTTTGAAATTGTATTAACCCCTGCAGACCAAACTCTTTTATATGGCAGCAGACCATAGTCTGCGAGACACATTCATTTTTCTTTAGCTACGTACATTTATATACACATATTGATCAACATCGAACAACAGCAAATACATACAGGTAATATCCATTCGTTGCCTCAAAAAAAATTGTTATTTAGTTACTTATACATATATTGGTTAACTCTATGTTACATTGAATTTACATACAATCCACATCTATATTTCGCTACTACCATTTAAAGCCACGTATTTCCATTAGTTTAATTTAGTTTAGTTAGAGCTATTAAAAAAAAAAAAAACAGTGGTAGAAAGGAAAGAAAGCATTTCGTTTGGTTTTGAGATGAATCAACTGGCTAGTACAATTAAATACACACATCAATATGAAGAATATTTTTTATGAGTCTGCGAGTTTTGGATATTCATAAACATCGCACTGTATCAACCTAATCCACCCAAACGCTATAACAACAATCAATCAATTAATTGATCAATGGATCAATCAACCAATCAGTAGCAACTTTAACCCGATTCTATCGTTTTCTAACGTTTCTATCTATTCATATTCAATTATATCACAAAAAAACACGGTTGGTTTTTCTCTCAACCCCCCCTCTCCCTCTCCCTCCCCATCTCCCCTCCCTGCCCTCTGCTTGATTATTTTGACCCACAACAACGGCTCTTAGCCATTTGTTGGAAAACCTGCTCCACCGTTAGAGCCATTAATTGCAATTTTGAAACCATTTATCAAGGGCTTCTTCTAGCCAGAATCCCAGAATCCAAAGAATTTCCTAAGTTTCCACTGGCATTGCGTTGTTGTTGTTTGTGGTGGTGGCCATGTTGTGGTTGTTGTTGTTGTTGTTGGTAAGGGTAATGGTGGTAGCGATGCCATTGGCCGGTGTCAAGTGGTTGCCACCATTCGCCTGCAGCGACTCGTGCGACTTGAAGAGCGTGGTGGTCTCACTGGAGTGCAAGTCATCCTCCTCCTCCTCCTCCTCCTCCTCCTCGTCTTCCTCTTCGTCCTCGTCCTGCTCCTCGTACTCCAGCTTGCCTGGCTGCTCCAACGGATCCAGCTTATCTTCGTCCAGCAGCAACTGCTGCTGCTCCATGGACTCCAATGGCTTCTCCCTGCGTCCCGTGTAGAGGAACACCTCCATGTGATCCTTGCCCTTCACATAGACACTGCCGCGTGGCTCGAACTCATAGCGATTGGTGAAGAAGGGCAGGCAATCCTTGCCCACCTGGATGCGATTGGGTAGACCCGTGGAGTCCATTCTGGAGGCCACATTGACCGCATCGCCCCAGATGTCGTAGTACAGCTTACTGGTGCCAATAACGCCTGCCGTCACATCGCCAATGTTCATGCCAATCCTCAGGATGAGATTGAACTCCAGCAGATCCTTGTTAAAAGCATCCACCACCTCCTGCATGGCAATGGAGAACTCCATCAGCGTGTGAATGTGCTCATCCCCGGTGCCGCGATGCGATGGATCCAGTCCACTGGCCGCCATGAAGGTGGACCCAATGGTCTTGATCTTCTCCACAGCCCGGAACTCCGGACGCGACAGCAACTCGTCAAAGTCGCCAATCAGTTCGTTGAGGACACGCAGGAACTCCTTGCCACCCAGATAGCTCTCGTCGTACATCTCATTGAAGTTGACAATGGAGGCGAAGATGATGGCGATGTTGTGATGGTTCTCCGAGTACTTGGCCGTGTTCTTCAGATGCTCGGCCACATGCTTGGGTATGATGTTGTGCAGCAGCATGTCCGCCTGGTTCTTCATGTTCTGCACCCGGACCTTGTCCTGATTGGCCACCGCATTGCCGTAGAAGGTCAACCGATAGCCGATCTCGAATTCGCGATTGAGGAACCACACCAGCACCAGGATGAGCAGCAGATCCAGATAGATCTCCACGTGATAGTCCTGGAACCACTTGATCTCCTGAATGAAGTTCGACGCCTCCTGATCCTGCTGATCACCGCGATTGTGACTGTACACCATCAATTGCGACACCGCAATGCCGATGAAACAGAGGGCCGCCAAAAAGGCCAGCACATTCCGCACCCAGCAGTTGAGTTGCGTGAAGTTGCAGAAGTGCACGATGCACACGAAGATCAGGAAGCCGTAATGATACTCAAAGGCCTCCAGTTGCTCGAGGTCCAGGAGCAGGAAATTGGCGATAATTAGCAGCACGGGCATGGCCATCAGGACGGCCAGGCAGATGTGCCACGGATACCAGCTGGAGATGGCCTCGAAAATGCGATCCGCACAGGACTCAAAGTGCGGTCCTGGAGCGCCGGCTCCTCTCTCCTCACTCCTCTCCAGATCCTCACTGGTCGTCGACTTGGACCGGAAGCGGTGGCTAACGTTGCCACTGCTCTGTCGACGGCACATTTGCCGGGTGAACAGGAAGAGGGCAAACACCTGGATGCCCGTGAAGCACGAGAACAGGGTCACCCACAGCCGGAAGCTCGGGGTCACCGTGTTCTGGGTCATCAGGAACAGCGACACGGAGATGCACAGGTACACGGCAATGCCCACGAATATGTCGATGTAGGTGTTGTATCGCGGCGTGGCCAACGTCGGCGGTCCCTCCGTCTCGTTCTCCGCCCCAAAGCGATGCGCCTTGGACCGGAAGTCCCGCTCCAGTTGGCGCGACTTGAAGTACAAACTGAATCGCCGCAGCGGCGGCTTCACCAGATAGCTCCTCTGCGACCTGGCATTGTCCCGCACGCAACGGATTAGCTGGAGGTCCGACTGTTTGCGCAACTGCTGCAAACAGGCCGCCAATGGATCGGCCATTTGCGAGGAGCAGGCGGGCATCAGGAGTGCCGGCGGTGGTGGCTGCACGGCCAGCGGCAGTCCCAGTCCCTGCACCTCCCCCAGATTGGAGATGCTGGACGTGGAGCTGGTGAAGTAGCCGGATACCCTGTGCTGACTAATCGCCGACTGGTTGAGCGCATAGATCTGCTGCTGTATGGAGGATCGCCGCGAGTTGCTCTTGATCCCCGAATCCTTGCGGGACGTGGCCGAGGGACAAATGCTCGACTGGCGGGAGTGTGTGGGCGGAAAGATGCCGCCGCCGCCGGAGTTTCCGGGAGCGGGCAAACAACAGGGACTAGTGGTCGATGGGCCCGGCTCCAATGTGTTCGGTGTGGGTCTGCCGGTGGCCAAAGTCGAGGCCCGTGGCCGGGGCACTGGCGACTGCTCCACAGTGGGTGCTGCCTGGGAGGTACTGGCTCCTCCTCCTCCTCCTCCTCCGTTGCCAGCTCCTCCTCCCGTTGACTGGCGCCCACACTGCGATCTATAGCTGCCCGATCGGCCGAATGGCGATATATCGCTCCTCGACTGACTGATGTAGGATCGCACATCGATGATGTCATCGTACATGGAGTACTGGCCGGGGGAACAGCAGCCGCCTCCACTCACTCCCGCCTCCGGCGAACGGAGCACACTGCTGGCCAGGGCCGTCGACGTGGCCGCATGATGGAGCACCGGTCGAGCGGGTGGGATGTCCAGTGTCTGGGTGCGATGGCTGGACTCGACCAAAACGGGCAGCTGCTGATAGCCGCAGCCATTGCCATTCTGCATCTGGTTATCCATGAAGGCGAGGGTCTCCTCGGGATTCAGTTGGTTCTGGTGATGCAGCTCCTCCTTCTCCCTCTCCCTCTCCCTGTCCCTCTCCTTCTCCTTGTCCTGGTGAGTACTGATGGTGGCACTGCTGCTGCAGTTGCTGTTCCTCCCAGCCAGATCCTCGAATCGCTTGAGGAAACGTGGCACTTTCCAAACCTTCAACTTGATCTTCGATCGTGCCTCGCTAGCTGGAGGATTGGGTCGCGGCGGCGGTGGAGTGACGGGCGGCTGTTCATCCGAATCCAGGCTGCCGGGCAGGGATTTGGTGGTGATTATGATCTTCGGCCGCTCCCGAACTACAATCACTGGTGGAATGCCCGCCGCCGCCGGATGGATGATGCCGCGCTCCACATCCCGTTCGCGACTCTGCGACTTCTTGCGCAGCTTCATGCTCAGCGAGGTGAGACGCGGTCGCATCGAGAGCACCGGCGAGGGATTCAGCGAGCTGGAGAGCTGACCCACCGGCGAGGCGGGCGGCACATTCGGCTGCACCGCCGACACATTGGTGGCACTCTGGGAGAGGGAGGCGCCATGGGTGCCGGGCAGGAGCAGGGTGCTCCCCGCCGCATTGTTCGGCATGCTGGGACTCAGGCTGTTGGTCCGGGTGAAGTCACGACGGCGTCCCACCACGAAGTAGGTGCGATGACCTGGGGTTTGAAAGGTTGGGGTTAGCACATTTGCCTGTAACATTCCCATTGAGGGCACACTCACCGAACACCTCCTCGCCCTCCTCCAGGTAGTAGGCATCGCCCAGGAAGCTCGAAGTCTCCTGCGAGATGTGCACCTGCTCCGGCTTGCCCGAGGATTCCATTCTATATAATGAAATGGGGGTGGAGGATTAATACCCAACATAACTTAGTCTCAATTAAGAAAGGGAAACTTACTTGTTGGCCAGGCTGACATCGTTGCTCCACACATCGAACTTCACCCGCCGCGTGCCCACGATGCCGCAGAGGACGGTGCCCGTGTGGACACCCACCCGCATCTTGACACCCTCATGCCTCTGGGCATCGAAGCAGCGCATGGCATCGATCATGCCCAGGCCCATTTCCACACAGCAAATGGCATGGTCGGCCCGCGGCTCTGGACATCCGGACACACAGTAGTAGCAGTCGCCCAGCGTGGAGATCTTCTCGCACCCGCTCAGCGAGCACAGATCGTCGAAACGCTCGAAGAGATCGTTGAGGATCTCCACCAGCTGCTCGGCCGTCTTCGTGGAGGACATGCGAGTGAAGCCGACAATGTCGGCGAACAGGATGCTCACGTTCTCCATGCTGTGCATGTGGAACGGTCGGAACAGCGACTTCACATCGTTGGAGGCGCGTGGCCGCATGTAATGCGATTCGGGGGGCAGTCCGCCGGAGTCGAGGCCCGAGGGACCGCCCTCGTTTAGCAGCATGTCCGCCACCTTGGGCGGCATCACCGAATGGATCATCTTCTCCTTGAGCTGCTTCTCCATCTCCAATTGGCGGCGCACCAGCAGATTCTGGCCCACCTTCATGAAGGTGCCGCGCATGCGGACAAGATTCATGATCAGCACATGCACCCCCACCAAATGCACACTCAGGTGTGCCATTATCCGCAGGATCAGGATCTTGTTGCTGGGGTCGCCATTGGCCGCCATTCCCGATCCAGATTCAGCTGATCCACCTCCACCATGCATTGCCCCACCATGAATGGCACTGCATCCGATGACCATGTGCGAGACCATCTCGAAGGCGATGGAGTAGCTGATCGCAGTGCTGGCGCCCAGCCACAGGGGCATTGGCAGGGCCGTGTAGATCAGCAGGACGATCTCCAGGCAGATGGCGAAGTGGCCCAGCGGACTGAAGGCCCTGCCCGTGTAGGTGAGGAAGGCCAAAGAGGCGCCGCAGAGCAGCAGGGCGGTCACCGCCGAGGTCGCCGTCCGATGCTCCCGGTACAGGTCCCAGTGCGTGAAGCAGAGCGCCATGATCGTCACCAGCGAGAGCATCGAGAAGGAGCTGGAGATCGGCCGCCAGAAGTCCTCCGATCCTCCATCCACCACAAAGTACAGGCACCACATCAGCGAGCACAGCAGGATGTACGAGAGGGTGAACCTGGAGCAGAGGAAAGCAGAGGTAGGTCATTAGGAATAAGCTGGGGGAGTCTTGGGTACTATAACCTTTTACATATTAAAGGTGTTTCTGGCACATAAAACACTAGATTAATAAAACTTTCCCATGAAATTATCCATTTTGTCTTAGCAGAAAAAAAAAAAAAAAAAAATTCCTACGCTTTATAGCCATTTAATTGGCTGATCAACGTATAAATAAAAAAAATGTTTTATAAAAAAAAAAAAAAAAAAACAGAAAAAATAAATAAAACTGCAAAGTTAACATAAAATACAAATTTTGGAATTCGAAGTTATGCAAGCAAATAATTTGTGAATAACCAGGACTAAAAAGCAAAACACGAATTACTTTGCAGGTTTAATTATAGAAAATAACTTTATTATATTTACAATATTTAGACAATAGCCGCAGGAAATGGTCTCCATTACTACATTTTAAACCGAAACGAATCAAAAGCTTGGCAAGATTAAGATTAAGTGGAGGACAGTACACCAGCGAAGACTTGAGCAGGATTGGACTTAGGGCTGCTCCCTTGGTGGGTTTATGGCAACCACTTCAAGGTCTTGCTCCTGCAATTACCTCCCCCCCTTACACTTAATTTTTGCTCAACCCATTTAACTTTCACTGCAAGCCATTCCCATTCATCCTAATTAACGCTAACTGCAGCGAAGGGGCGAGGAATTGGAGCGGCAAGAGGAGAAAGCGGCTTACACTTTCCAACTTGTCACCATGGGAACTTTTGCCACTGCCACTGCCACTTCCACTGCCACTGCATTCATAACACATTTTGTTCCGCTCGGAGGAGCAGAGGTCAGGCCGGAACTGGAAAGGCAATGCAACTGAGGCCCCAGATGACAAGCTGCCCACTAATCTCCGGCCATTGTTGATGGGCCAAATGCCAGGACTTGTCGCCTTTGTTTGACTTGGCCATTCAGGAAACTTTGGCTGCCAACCTCTTTGGTTTTCAGTTAATGGTTGCCAGCACCAGAACCATCTTAGAAATGGAACTGCCAAAAACCTGTTGGAAAACTTTTGAGATTAAGACTTCGGAACTAAGCGATGCATTTAAATTACTAAGAACCACAGGTACTTTTGAAAACTCCAGGCAAATTCTAGACCTTTTTAAGGAGAAAGGAATCTATGGAACTTGTGAGATTGACTTCATGTGGCAATAGGTGTTGCTACCTCGTGAGAAAACCTAAAGACATTAATTTTTTGGAACTAGTTTAGTTACAGTATCAGCAGTTTTTTATGTTTGAAAAATTATGTTGGGATTAACAAAATCCCATTCGATTTCGATTAAAAAAACCACTATCAAAAATACAAAATGAAATAATATTTATATCAAATTTCTTGAATACACTAAGAAAAAATATGTTTGCTAGTGACTATATTTTCTATCCAACTGAAAGTCGGCTAGCTTTGGTTAAGCATTTGCAGGTTGTCAGTACTGGTAACAAGCAATCGATTGCTTGGTTGCCTTTTTCTGGTGCCGCACGCGAAACTGCTGCAATTGGCCGCCAAATGGCCCGAAATGGCATTGACCTGCAGCGCCGAACCCTAACCCCCAACCCCTGACCTCCGGACATGGAACCACCCCATCCTCTCCCACTCCCCCCACCCACATTCACATTCACATCCACATCCTTTGACCCGTGGGGGCACACGCCAACCGAGCATTTATGGCGGCAATTTCGCCATCCTGCGCACTTCCCCAACTAATTTGCCCTCGCTTACCCCACCGCCGACCCCCGACCCCTGACCCCTGACCCCTGAACCCTGAACCCCTGAACCCCGCCCTAAGCCATGCTCTTTGGCGTCACGTTGATTGCATGCACGTGCAAGAGTTGGACTCCCCTGCAATGCCTGAAATATACACCTGCAAAGGGTTAGCAAAAAAGGGTCTATTCAGCTGGAATCGAGTTTTCGGGGTCTCTGGGCTAAAAAGGACCAACGCCAGGAGTCAGCGAACTTTGTTTTTTTTTTAACAAATGAACTGTAGTAAATATCAATTGGGAATGGCTTAAAATAGATTGCTTAGTTCGCAAACCGCAGAAAAGTCCAGTTGAAATAATTAATTTTAAATTGACAAAAAGTTAAATATACTGTTATCCAGTTAAAGAAATCTAATTTAGACGTAAACTACTTTGAAATTTATTTATTTTTTATATCCTCAATGAAGCTTTTAAAAGCAATACATTTTTCACCAATCAGCCACATAACTTCAATGCCTTTCTGACAAAAACTAAAAGGAATTTTACACCTAATTAATGGCAAGCAATTGCCAGATTTTATTGCACAATTTAAGGAATATCTAAATGAACAATTTCCTAACCATTTTTCAATTAAAAGTGGGTAATTTGCCAAACGTTTGAAATGGTTCACCAATTGGTAAATACCAAAGACAGTAATTAAGATTTTATTATGATTTAAACGGCAAATGTTTAAATTGTGCTAACTTAAGGGAAATAAATGCTGCTGTAAATACTTAAAGTGTGGAAATATCCCCATTATTGAAGCTAGCCTATTTGTTCATATGATTGCGCGGGCTGACAGCTCGATTTGCATAGTTGAGTGGAAGCCACGACGATGGACAGGGTCACTCCATGGCCCCCACTTAATTTTAATTTAATTTTCAGTTCAACCCCTCAGGATTTAAATCCCCATCTGATTTCAAAATCCCCCACTGCATAGTAGCCACACATGAAATCAGTTCGATCATTTAATATTAATAGAAAAAATTATACAAATTACCTGTAGAGATTTACTAATTCAAATGTCAAAATGCATTGGGGCAAACTTTAATCCTTTACAATTTTTATCAAATTTAGCTTATTTAATACTTGGGTATGTTTTTTGATTAGCTTCACCTTTAAGGGTTTCTTTTTAATTTCTTGTAAATAAATAAATAATTAGATTTTCTCATTATTTTCAAGTTTTGAACTGAAATGTATAAAAAATTGATTTACCCTGAAACCTAAATTTAAAGCCTTAAATTTCCTAGATGATTTTGAAAAGTGTTATTTTGGTTTTGCAAGGAAACGCTGAACTCAAAAATATATATAAATATACATGGGCATTAATGAAATTTATTGTATGAACAGCTTTTAAGGATAACGATTCTAAGCAATTGCAAAGCCTTATCACCTGCGAAATGTGTATGTTTTCTGCGGGATCTCACCTATATCGCATGCGGACGTGGGGAAACACGCTGGCCTGGTACTGCTCCTCCAAAACCGGCGAGTCGAACTTGGGATCCAGCCAGGACTTGGCCGCCGCCCGCTCGAAGGCCACCGGCAACATCACGCTGCAGCAGGAATGCCGCCGGCCGGTCTGGCTCAAATAGGTCTGGATGTGCGGCGCCAAGGCGATCTGGATGTCATCGGTGGAGTTCGCCCGGCTATCGTTCACCAGAACGCCCGGCGGCATCGCCCTGGAGCTCACCGACTGTCGGCGCGACTGCAAGTACAAAATCGCACCATATTCCTATTAATTCAGATATTTAAGATAAGAATTTGTAAATAATAGATAGACGTTTGTAATTAAAACAGGCTGTTTAACATACAACACAAAACCATAAAAATTATGGTTTTGTTCTGCTGAGTACCTAAACTATCGATTTAAAATTAATTTGAAAAATTGTATTTTTTTGTTTACCAAGTTTTGCATTTATTTTTTATTTTAGAATGATTTTTTGCTTCATAATTTTATAACGAATTCAACGAGGTATGATATTCCAACATTCGACCACTGTTTCCCAGGGTTTTGATTAAAAAACCGAAAAACCCGAAAGGTTTTTTTTCCGGATTTTGGCCAAAATATTTTTCATAAAAGGTACCCCCATGTTTTTTTTCAAAAAACTATAATTTTTTAGCAACGAATTCAACAACGAATTCAACAAGATATGAAATTTTAACATTCGACCAAAATTTCCCAAGGTTTTGATTACAAAACAGAAAAAAGTTTCTCAAGATTTTGATTACAAAACTGAAAAATCGAGCTGATTTTTTCTGATTATTGATTACTGATTATTGTTTAATAATACAAAAAGGTATTTCTTAAGTTTTAATACGACTCTAATTTTTGTTTAATATTTAATAAGTCTTGTTTGATATTTCCGGTTATCCTTATATGTAAAAGCATTTTAAACATTGTTGCACATAAACTTTTATATTTAAATATGGTCATCACTCTGGCAAATGAAAAAAGTTTCATGACACACATAGTTCTTCATTTGGCCATTTAAAATGTAAACGCATGAATCTTCATAATAAATTGGTGGCCTCTTTTCGGAGGCCTTCGATACGTATGTATTAAATTCTTTCAGATTGTTGATGCTAAGCAAGTATTTCTCTCCTTTTTTGAGTTTTGCTGTGATGGCATTAAATTCTTCTTCGTTTTTTATGAATGCAAGATAGCCTCCCATCATTCGACAGGTATCGGCAGCGTCGACATAATACTTTTTGGTAGTATCTTCAATATAGAAGTATCTAGAGCCGATTAGCTCGAACCTAGAATCGATCCTGGATGGGCTGTTCATGTTATTCGCCTGCAAACTGGTCCGTATGGCCAAAAGTTCCTTCTCCAGCTTGATCTCGAAAGCATCCTGACTAGATTCGATCCTGGCCAGGCAAAAGGAGCCGCACTGGCTGGGTGCATCGCCGAGAACACACTCAGAACTTCCACTATCCTGAGGATCACCCAATGAGACATGCGAGTCCAGGACCAAAAAGGACCACAGTAAACAGGTGGCAATCAGTTGGAATAGCATTTTTAATAAATATTACTACACTAGAAGAACGTTTCTGAAACACTGAAATAATTTATTTGTGAAACGAACAAAGAAAACACCAACATTACTGATAAACACATTTTTTTTCGCATATTTTTGTAATTCGCCGAAAATAGTGATAAGCAATTCCGGTTAGTTTTTCTTTGAATTTACAAAATACGTTGACCAATTCATTTATCCTACTTAATGAAATAGCTGTATGTACTTAAAATAAAATTTAAAATATCCCTATCTGTCCGAGTGTTTATATGATTATTGTTTAAAGCGTTGTTTCAAGGCTTCCACCGTGACGAAAATTATTATTGTAACGAATAATCTCAGTTTTAAAGCTATCGCTGGGATCGGATAACTATACCATTTGGCTGGCAATACTCCAAATATATGATAAAAATATGCGGAAATGGGCACTTCCTGTTTTTAAATAAATACCCATAGAGACCGACATCTGAATGTTAGTCATCATTTAGTCGAAGATACCCATTACCGGATTTTTTAAGGCATTTAAAATATTATTAAGATTGTTTAGACCATTATTTCACAGGGCTTTGATTGAAAACCGAAAAATAGAGCTGATTATTTCCTTATGATTTTATTTTAAGCTGAGAACTCCACTTGATTTTCAATTGTATTACGCATTCGATGACGTCTGACATTCCAACATTCTACAACTGCTTTCCAGGAATTTGATTAATAAACCGAAAAATACATATTTTGTATTTTACACTGAAAAGTGGAATAAAAAGTAGAATATAGTCATCTGATTTGGGTAAAACTGGGATTACGCATCATTAAAATAGCAAGAAAGATAAAATTGTCTTTAAAAGCAGTAAATTTAACAAAATTAAAATTACACGGGTATGTTTTCTCGTCGGATTAAACGGCGGCTGTCTTTGTGATTGTGGGTGGTGGAGGGTTGGATGTCAAAGGTCACGGACGAAGGGCTTTAAATCTTTGCCATTTCGCAAATGGGTCAATGGCTTTCCTTGGTTTTAATGGGCGAAGGGCTCTCAATAACACTGATATCTCAGAACAAGCCCTTTTAAATAATATATGTGTTTTGTATATGTATTTAATTTGTATCTAGGACATTGTAAAATTTTTTAAATAATCCGTAAATACTTATGATATTTATGATTGCACAACTTCATTGTTTGTACGTTAAAACGTAAAATTATATTTAAAATAATTGATTTCAAAATATCGAATATTTTAATTTAGATATTTAATGTCCCATTAATAATTATATGACCGCATTCATTTAATGCTAAATTTGGATGCCACACAACCAAATTTTAATTTTTAAATTGAATTTTCTATTGAAAATATATACACTAATTTAAAAAATCTTGTACTGCTAAAATGTGTTGCTGCACAACCAATTAAACGTTTGCTTAATGATGGCCTGTAAAAATGTCTTTTAAATGCTTTTTAATTTACTTTGCCTGCGATATTTCTGATTTTTGATTATCACCAAAAATATTGACGCGACACAAGTCACGCGACAACGGCTTTCATTTCTGATTTCTGACTTCTGATATTTGCCAGCTGATTTGCGATTTCTGACGGCCTTCGATTTCGGGCAATCTTATCGGAGGAGAAGCGAACGAAAGGTGGCCAGAAGAAAGCAGCAGCCAAAGTGCAGCCGAAAACCGAATTCAAAAGCGAACAACCATATCGCAGGGAGCGATGTCAATTGGTGGTGCCCAATCAAATCGCGTATACGACCCGTGGGCGGCACTCGAGCGAAACGCACACAAAACGGACACGCGGACAAAGTTGCTAAGTTAATCATAAAAAGCATTCCCCATACAAACCGATTTGGTTTTGGTCGTTCATTAAGAAGCCGCTAAAAAGTCGGTCTAAAAATAGAAGTCACTGAGGGAAATAAAGTAAGGAGAAAAACTCAAAGGGGAAACGAAGCTAAAAATGCCCTTACCCAATCAATCTTGTAAGAAATGGGGAGTTCTCATTTTAGTAATTTATTGGTTTTGCTAATGTGACTAGCTAGTTGCTTTTGTATAAGTTTAAAAATATGAAGTAGTTGAGTCTTGACAGCAGAGTCTCATAAATAACGTTAGGCAAAAAATGGGGAACTATATTTCATTAAGAGTCTTAAGTTGTAGGAAAACAAAATATTATAATCATATAGTTTATAAGATCACAAAATAGGCACTTTTGTTACTAAAATTGTGTTCTTAGAAAAGTATTTTAAACATTTGAAGTTTGACAAAAACAATTTTCTTATTTAATTACTTACAGACATTATGCATTTAGAATTAATTATAAGTAATAAAGTAGCAAATAATCCCCCAATATTTTTAAAACCTAAAAATATGATGACTAAATTCGGTTGAAAATTTGTACAGAGTACCTTTCTTCTATGGAAAACAATTACAAATTAATCTTTAAACCTTTCCTAAACATTTTCTAAGCATTTGGAATTTAAATGAATTTTAAGATTTTTAATACCCCATCAAAGGGTATCCAAAGGGTTCAGGAAAGTTTTATCTCTTGGGTGGGGCTGATACAAATTCCTAGGACACAACTTTCCTTCACCTCTTCTTTTGACAACCCTTGACTTTTGGGATGAAGTAAAAGTAAGCCAAATCTGAGGGCAAATTGGGATTCCCTTACCTGCCCGAAAACCCTTTTTACCCGGCCCCAAAAAACCAAAGCCAACAGCCAAAGCAAATATTTCATTTGGCAAATTGCTAGCTGACCCTTGGACTGCTCTTAATAATTACTTAGTGGTTTTGGTGGAGTGCGGTTTTCCAAAAGTAGGATTACTGTGCTTTAGCTTTTCACATAGTGCACCTACCAAAAATTAATCCACAATAATTCCATGAACGTGAGAGAAACATTTCACACATATTTATGGGTGGCAGGGCCAATAAGCGACAAAACAAAATACAAAAAAATAATAAAAAACGATGAAAAATCACTTAAGGTCTGAGCATTTTGTCGCGTTTTTTTTTTTTTTTTTGCCAATTGGCAATTGGAAATATTTGCGACTCGAGTCTCGTTATTCGCGTACGCTATATACGATTCGATTAGGATTCAATTTGATTTGATTTGATTTAATGTGAAACAAAAGGCGACGAAGCGGTTCGGTTCGGTTCAACGAATTCCGTTGACGCGGCGCTGGGAACTGATTTGAATTTTTTTTTCGGTCCGTCGGCAACGTTGGGGATTGTCGATTGTCTCGCCGTCGATCGCCAGCGGCAAATAGCAAATAGAAAAAACAGCTGACAGAGGCAGAAGCGGTCGGAGAATGCAAAAACCAGGCGGCTTATCGCCGGCCGATAAGACCAGGTGAGCGGTGGAATCGGTGGAATCGCTACAATCGGGAGAATCGTTGGAGTCGGGAGAATTGGACTGGAGAGCCAGGAGAATCGGACTGGAGAGCCGGGAGAATTGGACTGGAGAGTCAGGAGAATTGGACTGGAGAGTCAGGAGAATCGGACTGGAGAGCCAGGAGAATTGGACTCGAGAGCCAGGAGAATCGGACTGGAGAACCAGGAGAATCGGACTGGAGAGCCGGGAGAATTGGACTGGAGAGCCGGGAGAACCAGAGAGATTGGGATCCACTCGAGATCAGTCGCCGGCCGTCGAGTTGCCGTCTCAAGTGGCCAAGGACTCCCGGCAATCGCTGGGCATATCTATGAGG